AATGCAAGCAGGAATATGGAATCAAAAATGGTCACCCTGAAGGTCTGATTTTGAGGGTCCTGTGAGCTGCGGGGAGACCTGAGAGGACCTGGCTGCACTTTGAGCGTGAATGAAAGTCCAGCATGGGATCATAAATCCAGGGACTGACTCGACATTGCACACTCTGTTTTCACACCAGTATAATTCCATTAATTTCACAAAAACATGCCATTCGTTTTGTAGGCACATACCAACACAAACTTCAGTAACACAGCGATGAGTCCACTTCGCTTTTTCATATTTGGTACATTTGTTGTAATTAAGGACAAAGCATGCAATCCTCCTTCTCCAGCCCCTTTCTAAGGCAAACGACAGGGCTTCAGGGACGTGAGGAGTCATCTGGGCTCTTAAGCCCTTTTGATTAGGTTTGGACTAGATGATCTCCCGAGGTCCCTTCCAATCCTTGCCATTCTGTGATTCTGTGGTAAGGCCACTGTAGATGCGCCCTTCCCTCCCCCATTGTAGACGGGGGCCACCTTCTGAAGACCAGTTGCAAGCCTTTGCATTGAGTGTTTGGGAAATTTGGTTGCGACAGGTGGGGCGGGATCAGAGCAGAAAGTGCCGGGGCTGACAGGGCAGCCTGAAGGGTTCTTTCATTATGCCAGGAGCCAATTTACTTTCTCTTAATTCCCACCATGGCCAGCCAGGCTCATAATTCTGGCCTGCATCTCTGTTTCCCTGAACTGATGGTAGAGATCCTGTTGACTTCAGCTTTGGATGGTCAGGCCTCCAGATGAAGAGAGCGGCAGCAAGAGTCTCTTTGCAGGAAACTCTTGCCAGTTATGTTGGAGGATACACTGGTGTTTGGAGAGAGATGACTCACTTTAAACTCAGATTTTGGGTAAAGCAGCTCTTTTCCTGGCCAACTCATATCTGACTCATTTACCACTGATGAATAAAGGATAAAATGCTCCTGGCTAAGGCCCATCTTAAGTATTTCTCTTTCTTTCTTCTCTCTTTCTTTCTTTTCTTCAAGTGACAGTGCCGATTATTTTTTTATTTGATTTTCTCTGGCAGGCTAAATGAAGAAAACCGTGAAAAGCTGCTACGCTTTTGGTGTTTTATTTCACCAAAGCACAACTCTGCATTTTAAGATCCAATTGAAACTTGATTATAGACTTCAGAAGAGAACAGATATAGAAAAAAGAGTTTGTGGATAGGAAAGAAAACATGCATGATGCTAACACAGATTTAAATACAGATGCAATTAAAGGAACAGGCATGCCCTGTAAAACATTTCTAACTACCATAACTTTGTGTGTTGATAACTGCTTACTCCCTATGTGAGATACAGATTTAGCTGATTAGAATTTTGCTTTGGCCAGACATCCATTTCAGACATCATGCTATGAAAATATTCAGTACGGTGCTGTCCCTGATACATTGGAGCTTCTGTATGTTTCTTCTTAAAATGGAAAAATAAAAGGGTGTGGAGGGAGACCTTTTGCACTTACTATTTTTACAGCAAACAGTAAATCTTGAGAATGACATTTATCAGAATTTTACTTTATGGCCCTCATTCAACTGAGCATAGATTTTACTCAAATGGAAATGAAAACAAAGTGTGATTTTTAGATATTACTCAGTGTTAGAGCTACCAGTTGCACTTTCAGTCACATTGTGTTATACTACGTACATTACATTATATACAAGAGCAACTGGTTGGATCATGGGGTACAGCTAGCCACCATCTAGGGTCACTTGCTGTGTTTGTGTATCAGCTCATAAAGCCTCACTTCGCATTCCACTATTTGGGAATCCACCTCAGCTGTGCTGAGCAGCCTGCACATACCTGGCCGTACCCCACAGGATCTGCAATCACAGCAGGGTCAGGAGCTGAAGAACAATTTCCCCAGGTCAGGCTGCAGCCTTACCTTGCCCACCTTCCTCTCATCCCCTGGTTGGTGAGGGCATAAGGACTAGAACCAGGAGCAGAGGAGTTTGAGAGCCAGCCTTGCCTTGGTAAGTCGGTAGATCTCAACAGCTGTACCTGACCCATCCTGTGTGAAAGCCCCCAGGATACCTACCCAGGCATAAACATTTCAAAGCTTTTTTTGAACCAACTTCAGCTTCGGCACTCAGGTAGTGAATCCCACAGCCTCATCAGGCATTGCACTTCTTTTTTTTTGCTCTAAACTTACTAACCAATAAATTCACTGTAGAACCCCTAGTTCTTTCATTGTGAGAAATAAAAGCAGCTCTCTTCCTACTCAGTCTCTTCCCCATTTCTGGGTTTAAAGGCTTCGGCTGTCTCAAGACTCTGTATTCCTCCTGGTATGAAAAGAATTTCTAACCTCTGATGGTTCTTGCACCTCTCTGTCCCTTTTGTAGTTTTCTTTGAGATAGAGTAAGAACTGCATGCAGAACTCCAGGTGTTGGGCACACCGTGAATTTACACAGTAGCTTAATGTTGGGGACTATTTTCTTCTTTCTGTTGCTCTCTGCTCTTCTACCATTAACTCCAAGCTCTCAGTCACCTGTGTATAAACAGTTAAGCTGTCCTCCTCCCTGGTTTGTGTATTGTGTGTTAGTTTGTGTTTACCTTCTTTTCTACCCAGAAATGGTGTTATGGGCTTCAGAACTGACTTGTATTGGTAATTCGTCATCATCAACAAACATTATCACCCAAATCTACTGGTAGTCTGCCGAGTCTTTTTGAGATGCTCTGGAGAATCCCTCCATGCTGAAAATTCAATATTGTTATCCGTTTCCTACTTCTGATGAATTGTTAATCTATGAGAGGACCTCCTCTCATAAGCTAGATTCCTCAAAGCATTTCGATAAAATTGTTGTAAGACTTTCTTTGCATAGGGATATCACTTGATCTCTCTTCCTTCATTTCCTTCAGAAACTTCTAATAAATCGGTAAGGTTTTCTTCCTCTGTAAGTGTTAAGTCAGAACTCTTACCCAAATTACTATTGCCTAAATGCCCCCTTATTCTATTGCTGATTATAGCTGCTTTCAATTTCCCCATACAGGCTTACTGTATCTCCTGTGGTTTCCAAAAGGGGAATTGCATTTCTTACCTTTTGTACCTCATGTGTGGGTGCTGAGTTAAGCAGTAAAATATGCCCAATAATTATTTCTTTAGCAACATCATGATTGCATTCCCCTAGAACTCAGTGGACAAATATCATCTGCTCTTAGCAATTTGGCAATGTTTAATATATCAGTTTGTTCTAGTGCTGATTCAGTTTAAGTCAGTTCATCTGCAAATAATAAAATCTCCCTGACACTTCTCTAGTGAACACAGATATAAATAGTTCATTTTGCTTTTGTGGTCTACCTTCCTTGATGCTCCTTTTATGCTTTGATCATTCCTTCTGGTGTATTTTGAAAGATCTTTTTATTATTAGGTTTTATGCCTTTAACGTGTTGCTCTTCAGACTCTCCTTTGGCCTGCCTCGAGGGTTTACATTTAACTGGCCAGAGTTTATAGTTTATTTAATTTGCCTTATTTGGACATTAGTTCCTATTTTGACAGTATATGTGTAGTTACCTTATTCTGCTCTTAAACTATGATGGTTTTTACTTTTAGTTCCTTTTTCTTTGATCCATACAAAGTCCACTTTTACTAGGTTATACGCTTACTCAGGATCTCTTATCTGATGTCTGTAGACACTCTCCAAATCATCTCCATGGTATAGAAATGCACCTCTTTTTCCCCAGCTCTCTGCTACCAGAGGATCACTTTTCAATTACAATGATCTTCCCTGAGACAGCTGAGTTAAATTAGGAACAGATTATGGCATAAAACAGCCATACCATGCCAGAAAATCTATCTTGCATTCAGCAGTTTCTGTGACTTGGAAACATACCTTGAATTTTTATTTTTATGTGTGTGATGATGTAGGTATGAGGAATCTCTGTAATTTTGATTTTAAAAATAGGGTAAGAGAAACATTTGCTTTTTGGGGTGATGTACAGGGTTTATCTATATTCTTAAATATTAACCTTTTTTTAAAGTGTAGATATGAACTATTTTAAATAACATTCTCATAAATAATATGTTTGCCATTTATTCTCAGCTGCCACGGAACAACACTTAAGTTGTCATACATTTTGCCAGATTTTATCCATATGGTAGGATTTTTGCCTCATCTTTTTCTTTTGTTTTAAAGTTTAAATGGAATCATTTTGTTTAGCGCTAACTGCTAAGAAACTACTTCATTCTGCCATAGTGTGAATTGCACATATAGAG